ACTTTTTTTTTTAATAGGGAGAACGAAATAATCATTTGAAGACATCCCTTTGGGTCTGGTATTATCTCGGGAGCATGAATCGTTAAATGATTAATTAGTTGCAACTGTAGTTAAGTGTGAACTTCTCAGCTATGCATGTGAACATGTCAATAGGTTTTTACATAGTTACCCTGTGTGAAGCATCATGCCTTCTTCCGGTTTTGTATGATCCTGAGCAGTGTTAGCTTTATTAAAGTGTACTAACATCATGACTTACTTCTTTTAATGTGAACTCTGACACATTAAGGTGACATTGAGCTCACTTGTACCTTAAAATATACCAACATTCCAATAAATACTTTTATAAATGACAAAGTCAGCATAGGACACTTAAACAAATACTAATATGCTTTTTAAGTCTCTAATAAATGTTCTATTGGACTCTAAAAAAGTTTCGAAGTGCCTCCGATAGGGTTTGCTGATTCTCACTCTTCGTTTGACCTACAAACTTCAGATGAGTGTATTAAGAAGCTAACGCTTTCTTCTTTCTGCGTGTAGATGTGTCTTGTCTTGACTAGCTCAAATACCTCCTCAAGTGCCTTTTATTTAAACGTGTGCCAAAAGAGTGCAAACGGCACTGAATAGATGAGGAATGAAAGTATTTGTCGTAACTCTGCAGCATTCCTCTGACAAAAGAGAGATTATCTTAACATACAGAGAGGCATTTGGAAGCAGCCCTCTGGCAACGAGTTTTGTCAACATTTCTGCACCCCTGTATAACTTGTTCACTCACTCATCGCTCAATCTCTCTTTCTTACTCTCAGACACACAGGGAGTATATTTTAGTAGACTTTACGTTTATGTAGGGGAGGCAAAAGGCCGCATCTCAGACATTACTGGTCACCACCAACATAATCTCTTGACAGCGTAATTGCGGGAAGCTTTCATGCCTTTGGAGTTCGTCTGCTCTCACTGGCCATCTGTCTGTGCCCCCACCTCCACCCACTACTTGCTGGTCTAATATATACAACTCGCATCACATTCATTTAAACAAGTAGGTGGAGGAAAAATACATGTACTGTAAACCCCTTTCTTAGAAAAATTAAAAAACAACATGTGGAGATAAGATGCAGAGTAACATATATTATGATGCTGTCATAAGGGGTTTCAAAAGTAATATTAATGTATTATAATCTTAATATAGTTTGAGCACAGCAGCCGTTTTGAATGTGAGATTTATGTCAAGTGCACAAAGGCAACGACACACTTCACTTTCTGCAGTGGATTAAACCACCATTTTTCCCATTATCATAACCTCGTCTATCCATACCATGCTCTCGTGCGGCCAAGCAGCAAAAAAATTGGGCGCACTTGTATCTCACCATGAACTTTGTGTGACAGAGAAAGAAATGCAAACCGGTTACCTCCACTCTTGCCATGGCAACGGACGCGACAAGAAAAGCGATCCTGTACCTGTGTATCTGTCTCCCTAATGGTCTGTGTGTTGGTGTAACAAGATCTGTAAAAACTCCCCTCAATGACATTTTAGATCCCCCACTGTAACTGACCTGGGCTGGGGAGTCACAAGTAGGATTTAGGTGAGTACTCAGCCTTCTCTCAGGTTCCTCTTCCCCTTTTCCTAATGAATTCAACCATAAGAAGACTTGAGAAGGGGCCTCTTTTTCCACATGGCCAGGATATTATTTACTGTTGTACGAACTGTATTACGTTTGCTTATGTTCATTATCAAACATCATACTTTTCCCACTTCACAAATGCTAGTCAAACCTTTTTTACAGAGGATGATCTTTCCCATGTTTTTAATTTAAAATACCAAATGGGAGTCTATAATGTTTTTTCATTTTTTCTTTAAGGGGGTAAAGCTCTCATTAAGAATGCTGTGGGGTGGCTGCTGAAGTGTCCTGCATTAGAGCACCTTGCAGCTTCACTGTCGGACTGCACCACTCGGACCACTCCTAACTCTCCTATTCCCTCTGCTGGGAAAGGCAGATATTACACAGCCCAAACACAGCACAAAACACAGACTACACTAATTACTTTACTTTAAGTAGCATCGCTGCACATAGGGACTCAGATGACCCATGTTGTGTTCAGGCTCAATTTCAATCTGCTGCTTCCTCTATGCAGGCTTGGTCTAGGTGAGAGCCTCGCTGACACCCCTCTGTATGAAATATCAATGTGAATGACTCACTCCCAAGTTTGGTGTCAATCATCATCGCAAATGCCAAACCCATTATCACCAACTCTTTTCAAGAAGTTGTTTGTCCATCAGGTGGCAGAAGCAGCAGGGTTTTTAGGAAAGAGGGAAGGTTTTCACAACAGCATTCAAAAGCTTGTTCTCCCTCAGGGTGAGGGAGCTAGATTTTCAATTTACCTTATAAATGACCTTGTAAACATCCAATTTTCCATTTTTGGTTTCAAACACTTAATTTCAAAGCGTGGTTTGTTTGGTGGGTGTATGTGTGTGAGTAAGTAAAAGGGAGGAAACTTGGATTAAACCTCATAAAGATGGATATTGTCTGAGCTTAGAGCAGCAGCAGTGATACAAATATGAATACATGTCGTACAGTATTTATATCTTCAACCATTTGCCTCGAAGAATATTGAGCATCAGTTGTCTGTCCTTTCGTTTGCACCAGTGGAACAAGCAGGCTTTACCTTTTGTTATTTTGGCCAAAGCTTTCCCAAGATTTAAAGAAATATTGTTTTGACAAGTGCAGCACACTCCAGTAGAGGACCAGTTTGTCTCCTGGTTGCTTGTGTCGACTGTTTCGATAAACGCCAGCCTACTTTGCTGTTTGTGTTTCTGTTTTCCTTTCCTTTTTTGTATTGAATAGCACAACAGGCAAGTTCATTATGCGTGTGACTCATCCCACTAGCCCACACCCCCTCCCCATCTGCTGCTGTGCGCTGGAAAGGAGAGGGAACCGCCATTGATCACTTCTTCCCTCACACATGCACGCACACACCCCACCTTCAACGTCACTATCGATCGACATGTTTAATGTTTTTGTGGGAAATAGCTGGCATTTCCTTTTCTGTCATTTTCACATGTGTTCCTTACCATTTGCTGACATTATAACACATCACATAGCAGGCATTTAAGAAATAAAAAGTAAAGCATAATCCAAAGAATTGTTTTGAACAATCTCAGAGTGTTCAGTCAGTGATAGGCAGTGGCATTCAGGAAATATATTAAATAATTATGTCTGGACAGGAGATGTTTGCGTGTTTGTTGTGTAAATCCATGGAAAGGCTGAGTTTACAGCTGCCTGACTAACAGCAAAGCTGCTCTGGAAGGTGGTTGGCAGGTATTGGACATTTCCTTTATGAAGCCCACTCCCTCCCTACCTCTTATTATCTTTTTAACAAATGCTTTAAACTTACCTCAGATATCCAATGGTATTTTTAGGATAATTTCCATATTTATTTGGAGTAACAAAATCGTTCCTCAAAAAGATGTTTACCAAAATAAAATGTTGTTCTTCTTCTTCTGCTTTGTTTGAAAGAGTAGAGACCTAGTAGAACTATTATTGAAAAAGTTTGAAATTCATGTTTTTTTTATTACCAACAGGTTTCTGTCATTGAAACATTTAAACTTGAATCAAACACTGGCCATATTTGTTCATTCTTTAATGCCAGATTTGGAAGAAATGCAATTTTTTTCATTTCTCATGGTTTTCAGTAAAAACTATACACATATTTATGATGTAGCATACATGCTATTCATCACTATAGCTAAATGTAGAAACACATGCTGCAAAAGCCTCAACACAGGGACAAATTAGCATTGCAGGAACAATATTGTCTGTATTGCTTTTGCAATGGTGGCAAAGAGCTGTGTCTTGGAGAAAGAGTGCAAACAAAGAGTGTGGAATTATTGCTAAATAAACAATGGACTGGTTGAAGAGAGAGAGAGTTAATTGACATTTTAGGCATTATTAATTGCTGGGCATCTGTTGCAAGAGTTTAGTTTGCACTTGTTGATAGAATCACCAGACTGACAGTGAAGGGACCTTGTGCCAGAACCAGACAGTTGTCTTTATACAACACTGACTTAAGATTACTTTTTGATGGACAAATAATATGTGATTGAGTCCCTTTTAAATGTTTGCTTTTCTGTAATCAACCAGAGCAGCATGTTAAAAAAGTTAGGAAAAAATAAAGGTTTTTTTTACATGTAGGAACAGTTAGGCCAAAAGTCGTCATAGTCATGCGAATGATGTGAAAGAAAAGACTCCCCACTGATTTGTTTTCTCAAGTGGATATTAATAATGGTTTAGTAGGCCGACACAAATTATTGTTGCGTCGAAAAAACAAAGTAAACTGTCGACATTTGCCAGAGCCTGCGAGAAATTATAGCTATTTAAATAATCATCAAACAAAGGCTGACGTCACGTTTATCTGTTTCAACAAGCTCGCACCAACTTTTCACACTTTTTATATTACAACTCAGATCAAGGCAATTAAGTAACAGTCTATTTATGAAAATATTTATTTATGTCATTTTACTTGAAACTGTTATGTTCATTTTGCACTTAGATTCTTAATTAAATGGAAAAATACTCATAGCTTTTTATGAATCAAAGATTTAATTTACAAAGTAGTATAAATAGACTTTACATTATGGTTATTTCATATAGAATATGTACATGTTTGACCAGAGAGCATGCTATATCATGATATATACTGTATCATTATCAAGATATGAGATTACCTATATTGTAATAGAACATTTTGGCCATATTGTCCAGCCATAATTTATACTTAAATAATGAGCATCACTCCTTTTATTTTTGGGGATGTCTGCTTTAAACGTACAGGCTTACCTGGAATCATGAATACAAATCCGTTTTTGATTTTTGACAAAGTCAGATTCACTACTGTAAACTAAACACTGAAAGAAAAGTATCAACATTGTGACGATAGGGTGATGATGATTAATTGTTCATACGGAGTCCTGGTGTGAATGTGTTGTTTTCTTGCTTTCTCGCCTGTAGGTGGTTCTAGACATGACATTTGGTGGTGGTGGTCACACCAAAGCAATTCTGAATTTGGTCCCTGAAGTCACAGTCCTGGCCTTAGACCGAGATCCTACAGCCATTTCTCTGGCTCAGCAATTGGCCAAGGAATACTGGTAAGTAATTTATTAAAGAACATCATGTAGAATGAGACAAATGTACAATAGATGTGTATTGCCGCAGCTGACAGCTTGACCATTTTGATCACAGTGTCTGGTTTGTGGCCATTATTTCTTAAAACATACTATATGATGTAAATGTTGCTGTTCTGTCTGTATTTCTCACTTTTTCCCTGAGCCCGATAAAATACTGCTCGCCAAGATACAGCCCCTGAGTTTCACCATCCAATCAAATCCTTTTCTCCTTCTTAACTTAAAGCTTTTCTCCCCCCACGCAAAGCTGGTGGGCCCGGCATGTCATTTGTCAGAGTAAGGGCCCACGCCTGCAGTGTGAAGGAGATGCTGCCTCCCACGGAGGATCTATAAGATACGAGGGGGGGGCGGGAAGTAGAGAGAAGCCCAGAGAAGTTAAAAAAGTGTCAAGAGAGAAAAAAAGAAAAAGAAAACAATGAAAACACGAGAGTGAGAGAACAGGGAGACACGAGGACACGTTGCCAGTGTGAGAGGGAGTGTGTGTGAGCATGAGCAACGCGCGGGAGGATGAAAATGAGATGTTCCTAAGACCATGGCGTGGGAAGGAATCCTTTTACGTAGATTCTGGGGAAACCTCTCTCAAGGGACTCTGCCAGAGAAATGTGCCTGTGAGCAGGGAATGACAATTAAGAGAAAGAGAGAATGAGAACACTGTATTCTGTCAGCAGCAATAAACCCCTGCTGTAAACTCTTCCACGCCCACTCGTGATACAAGTTGAGAGAAGCTAGAGAAATCTAGCAATTAACCAATATTATTGGAAGCCTGAGTAAAAGACCCTGGCAGCATACGCAGTGCATCCTCACAACAGGGTTAGAGGATTTTCTCTCTCGCCTGTACTGCTGTTTCTTGAGGGAAGTATAACCTCACTGCAAGCTGTTGAATGTTGGTGTGAATCTGAACCCAGTTTAACAGTACAGAAAGAATAATTTTACCTCGAATGTTTTTTTAAAAGCATTAGCTTATGAAACTAAATCTCTGATCCCTGAATGATATTCAACCATGCCTTAAATGGGATTTGTCTCCTGCATGTTGAGCCTCAGTCAGCCTATTCTCTGCTTTTCACCATTCCTGTTGTTGCTATGACTTCCCTGCGCTTGAAGCTACGCAGGAGTTATGCCCACAATAAATGTTACGAATCAGAAAAAGCACTAAGCATTATTCTAATGTCAGGCAAACATTGGATTTACACCTGTTCCATGTTGTCACACACAGACTGAAATCACATTTTATTTAAAATGAACTGCACTTTGTTGATTTCAAACCAATTTAAAAGTTATTTATTTAGCTCTTGCGATCGCATTCACATTTTCTGTAACCATTTGTCATGGATGGAGCTAGATAGCTTGTTGTTGGGCAGATTTTGTTTGAGGTACAGTTGATACATGAAATGCAATCAAGGCAGTGCAGTTGCAGTAACAGATTATGCATTCAAAGGCTTTTCTGGGACAGTTTGTGAAACAAAGTAATTTGCAACTCAAGTTAACATGGTGGGAACTAATTTATGTGAGGTAACCGGTGGGTGCTATAACAGGTCATAAGCCGCTAACCGTCTGCTCCACCTTTTATTTTTGTAATAGCCTGGAGCCGGAAGCCACCCACATTAAGCTTCACTACCGATCTTCAGAAACCAATAGGCAACGTGACGAGACAATGTCCATATTTTGTATGTATTGTATTATTTATTTGTATTAAGTCTATGGTTTTGTTTACCAAAAAGAAAATCCAACCATGAGTCATTGTCTTTACATTGTTCAGTATATTGCAGTCAGCTTTTCTCTTGACTCTAATAAGAGGATAAATAACATGAATCATTCATCACAGACAACATCCCGGAAAGTGTACATTTTCAAAGTTGTCAACTGTCCTCATCTGTGACACAACATCTCCTAACTGTTCGGAAACAAGCTTTTGAATGAGGACATGAAGATGAGAAAATGTGGAGGAACAGCAGGGAAGCATTTAACAGTTATTGATGACATTTCAAAGAAACACCGGCAAGGCCACCAACAAGTAAACAGCCGTTTAATTACTTTTACTCAGTCAAGTGAGGTAGCATACATTTACATGTAAATGTTAAACAAACACACACTTTTAAAGGCTATTCTGTGTGTGTCTTTCTTGATGTTTGTAGCCTCCTTCTTCTTTTATCTTGTCTGGACTGTAGATATTTTCATCACTGCTCCCCTGCTGAAAGCAATCAATCAGCATCTTGTCTTAAAGGAACTGAGCAGGTCAACTCAAGGGAATATTTCAGGCTTGATTTGTGAATAGGGTGCATCTTGTCTGCTGAAAAGGTTCCTGATGTCCTCATTGAGTGTACTCTTATTCCAAATGGGCAAGAAAAAGGAAATATTTAGTGAAAGGAGGACATACTAAAGAATAGCCAAATGTGTTGCTTTGTGCAAAGTACGTATTGTCTTATTCAGCTTTATGGTTTATTAATGACCTTAGAAAACCAGATAACCTTTATAACATAATTTTCCAGTTTATTTGGATACAATTTAAAACTGGTTTGACAAAATGTGTATCTATGTGTCTGTGTTTTGAGTAGACCGTAACAAAATCTATCATAATAATATTTTGGATTATTGATTCCTACTGGATTATGACACCTTTTCAGCGCACAGCTTTTAAGAACATGAAGATATCTTGATCATGATTCAAACTGAGCAAAGTGCATTTTAGGAGGAGTTGCAGTTGTTAGTAGAAAGGAAAGAGACACTTAGATTTAATTCCACATGGGGCAGTGCAAAACACATTTATGTCGAGGCTTTGCTGTATAAATATACTTAATAAACATTTAGAGAATAAGGCAAAGACTTGAGGGATCTGACTGCCAGAGGCTGAGCTGGACACACACATACAGTTCACGTCTGTACAGTCTGTGTATTATCTCTTTGGGGCAAAATGGTAACGAAAGCTGACTACTGCTAAAATGACATGAGGCCAAATTCCTGTCACTTTGTGTCTGACTTAAAAGCACATTCACAGATAGATAATAATCTAACTGTAATCACCTTTTCTGATATTCAATTATAAGGCAAAGCATTGAACATTTAAAAAGAATATGCTGAGAATTGGAAATGTCTGATGGACTTAAACTTTTAGTTTTATCTGGCACATGGTTTCTTCACTTATAGAAGATGCTACAGCGCAAATGGGAATATACCCTTGTATCATTAGCACTGGCTCTTAATCTTTGTCACTGCCATTTCACATATCCTGTTATACAATCTGCAAAGCTTTGGATTGTCTCTGTGTGATCTTCCCGTTTTTGGAAGATCACATTCAGTGTTAGGTTGATCTAGCGAGATGCAAGAATAACAAAAAACTTGCATGATGTCAATGTTGTGGGGTGCTACAACTATAAATAGATCTCTTAAGCAATTATGAGCCCACACTTGGACCTCAGCACATACACCACTGAAACTTGTCCTCTTTAATAATATAAGACCTTACATAAGACATTTATATCTCCAACTCTGTGTCTAAGCCACATAAAGAAGTTAATAATTTAGAAATGTTATGTAACTGTTTTGCATATTTTTAAATCCTTCAGTGGCTTACAAAAACGTGTCGGTGAAAAAGTCACAGTGTCTAGAGAAAGGTATGTACATCACCTGGGTGTGGGCGGACACAAAGACCACACTATTTTAATTTCCATTATTAAAAAGCAGAAGTAAATTGTTTAAAACATACCATAATAACAGGCCTTTCTTAAGCATGATAGAGCTTTCATTATGTTTTTGTAGCTAGTTCTTACGAGACTCCAACTGTGTATGGGAAATCAATTATAGATATAACATTTTATTGTGTTTTAAAATGATTTGTACAAATGTAATAAAAGACAGATTTCCCCTTAGTATTAGAATGTAACAATTGGCATAGACTCCTCCCATAGCTGCCTTCTGTGTGGTCCCACACAGGCTACACTCTTGCCTAACTCACTGCTCTCAGACATCAATCTTCTTTTGTTATTCACCACAAAAATGTTTTTTAAATGTTCACAGATTATGTTCTCTAGATCAGCTTTCATTCTTTCTATTCCACAACATAAATAACATTAAGAATTCCGCAATAGTTGTATAAGCCTCGACTTCTGCAACACTCATTGGGGAGCTTGTGGCTGGACCAGCAGTGCTGCCTACCAGTCAGTACAGCTCCGTCCCCTTTCTCCTCTTCCCTGTTGCCCTTCATACAGATGAGCCCCTTGTTAGCTGCTAGCTATCAATGCTATGTATGGAAATCGACATTATAAGAAGTGGCTATGTTGACCATTAATTTACCATCTACCATTGTGCCCATCTTTTAGTGTATCAGTACCAATCTTTTACTCAAAATGTCATGTAATAAACCTACAAGTACCTGTAATCATTCAAAAGTATATATTCGTAGGTACGTAGTGCAACAAAGTGTGTTTTCCATAGTCTCTCAGTGGAGCTGTTGGTGATAATCACACCATATGACAGCAGTTTCTGTGTGTTAGCAACTAGCTTTTATTTTCATCCGCACAACACTGCTTGACCTTCAGTAATAAAGACGTCAACAACAATTCAGGTTTGCTAAGATTTTCAACACACAATGAGCTTAAAAAGTTTCTCAACTTTCACCAATTAGACAGTTTATACCCTGAATAACCAACAAAAATGGAAATTGGAGTAGGTGGGTAGAGTGCTTTTGAGGAGGCAGTAACAGAAAGGGTTTGCGCAGGTGATGGGAGAGAACAACAAAGCCTTTACTATAGATTTTTCAACAAATCAATCACTGTGCAGGAAAGTGAATAACAACAGCAAAGCAATGGAAGGCCCTGGCAGCGTGGGTGAGATGCTCCCTTGCCATCTTGTCTTCAGTGGGTTTTGAAATAGAGGACCTGCCAATTTGTGTTCTTTCCTTGCATACCCCTAGTTAATCTTAAGAGTCATTGTTGTGTACATAAATGTATTAAAATGTCTGGGAATCAATAACAGTATCTTTATTTTATCCATACCTTTGATGCCGCTTATACTCATTGATGCTGCTTATTGGTATCAATACAGTACTTCAAGCAATAATTACAATTACTTTCTTGTGGTATAGCAAAATCAACTTGAATAAAACGAAACACCGTCTAGTAATGAAAGTCCCATCCAAGTTACTTCCAACCCCCTTCTTTTGGCGCCATTGCTCAGAAAATCACCATCTTTAAATTCTGCCTTCATTCTCATCTCATCTACACATCTGAAAAGTTTTGTGATGCCGAACCAGGCCGGGGTAAAGTGTGCTCCTTCTTCACTTCCCAACCCCCCTACTTCTGACGCTTTTGCTTGGGTTTTCATTGAATTTAGGCATTTATTTTCTTCACACCTCTCACATTTAGGAAGTGCATCTTCTACTGGTATTATGCTTTGCAATGACAAAAACAAGCCTATCTGTCTGTGGACAGATTTCGGTCCGTCCATCAAACCTTCTCCAGATGGAGGTTCATGTGTTGTTCTCAATCTATGTGCACAGGTTGCTAGATACTTTAAAGATGGGCGAGACAGCAGATTGAATTAGCTAATTAAATATGCATTGCATAAATGTAAGAGCATCACCATAGCCAACCAGTACTATCTTATGTTGACTAAAGCTATCACGTTTTGTCAAAACACTTGTCACACAATAAGCTTTAGCTCTCTACCTTAAAGTTTCATCCGATAACGATGGTTATCCTGATACAAGGTTTTTGATTTGAGCGTTTGATAATTGTTTTTAGTGAAGTGGACATGCTGCAAATGTTGGGTTCAATGTTACCCTTCTCTTCCGTTCATTTATTCCTGTCCACATGTTAATACAGTCTGCAGAATGTAAACAGAACTACAACTTAGTCTTGTTTCTTCATTAATTATGAAGCCCTAGACCAGGGGTGCCCAATACGTCCGGTCGATCGCAAAGGTAGTGTGGGTAGATCGCATGGCATTGAAAAAAAAAAAAGTTAGCCTATCATCCATCCTTACTATGGCATTTGCCACTTGATTGACGTACAGGTAAGCCAGTCTGAGATCTCATCTTTTCTAACACGCAGTTCACCACGCATGCGCGGTCAACCGCGCCAGCTGCAAATCACCGGCGAGCTGATTACCTAGTAGTTAGCCTTCCAATTTATACAATTCTACTAAAGAAAGGGTATAAAATTGACGTAATGACCAAAAATGTACTGAGTTGTATTGTGCCATACGGGTTCATGCAGTTATGCAAGGTACACCAACATAAGGTATACTCAGTATATATATATAAATACATATATGTTTAGCATTTTTAATATAGGTAGATCATTTTGACTTGGTCATTTTAAAAGTAGCTCCCAAGCTGAAAAAGTGTGGGCACCCTTGCCCTAGACATGAAGAAAAGCTTTTGTTGACAGTAGGAATGACTCAGGATACAAGTCTTCACTTAAGTCTTTTGGTGAGTTCTTGACAAAGATATCAGGAACTCCCATGATGAGGTCTTTACATTTCCTTCATCTTTTAAATCCGGTCCATGTTAACCTCATACTGAATACACATTATATGGAGAACTAAATGAGGAAGGTGTCATCAATGTAAGCTGCTTAGCATTTGCGGTCAGGTATGTGATATACAAAATGAGTTGTTTGTCATTTAGAAATGACAATAACATATTTTTGGTCACTTTATTTTCAAGAAAAATACCTTCACTAGCAGGGATGGGTAGAGCAGGCTGCAGAAGACCTTTGGCTCCTTATATGGAGATGCTAGCTCCTGTTGCTCTCTTCTGCCATCATCTTTGTTCACACAATGTTGAAGGTCACATGAAAAATGCATGAATGTGGCTTGAGGATGCATGACGAAGTGACTGTGTACATAGCTTCTTGCTGTCGGTAACAAGGAAGGATCTAAAAAAGACTCTTAGTGGGAACTCCAAGGAAATACCTGAGCCTGTTTTGGGTTCACATTAAATTGTATACATCACAGGGTCTCTGCTAGAAATGCTTAAAATGACCTTGACTTGCTGGTTGTTGACTTTGGATGTTTGTTTTTATTTATGACCAATTTGAACATGAAAATACAGTTAATATTTGCCATTAACTGAAGAGGGGACTCATTTACCATTCCCATCTAGTAGCAATCTGTCTCTTCCCATCACTTACATATTAAACCAGTCGGTAAAATCCCCAGTTAAGTGTATAAGATTGTGAAACACTCTCCCTGTATTATCACAGAAAGGGAGCCACTGTATTATCAACTCCATTACTCCTGTCTTCATCAAGGAATAACTCAGCAAGACTAAATCTTGTTACACAAGTCTTTGTATCATAATTGGGGCTTAATATCTTTTTATTTTTTATATTAAATGATGGAACATAATCCAATACCGCTTTAGACTCATTTCCCTGCTCCACATTGTAAACAATTTTAAAGGAATTTTCTAGTTATGAGTTGACATTGAAATCATAAACAGCTAAACTATCTTTTTACAACACAATCCCTAAACTTTACTTAAACTATTTTACTATAATCATTTAAAAATAAAAAGCTATCCAACCAGTTAAACCAAGCAATACAAATGTATTTTCCCTTATTCTGCTGTTTAAATATCACTGCAGAAATGTAACATTTATTTTCCATTGCATTTAAATTAAGCCAGTGTTTTGACAGCAGCCATAAGCATTGATATACAAATGTCTAATCATGCTTTTTTCCCCATATCCTTTCTGCAGTGGTCGTGTGAAACCATTGATTGGCAGATTTAGCGAGCTTGAAGCCCTGTTGTCTGACATGAACATTGAGCCAGGCAGCGTGGATGCTGTCCTGTTGGATGCTGGCTGCTCCTCCATGCAGATGGACGTGGCGCAGAGAGGCTTCTCCCTCAGCAAGGATGGGCCCCTGGATATGAGAATGGATTGTGAGAGGTAATATATTTACAAAATACAGTAATTGTATCAGGCTGATGGATCTCAATTTAATTAACAATACAGCATTAACAAAACTGGATACAAATAACTCTAGACTTCATTTTTAGAATAAATAATGTTGGGTTCTGCCGGAAAATCTGAATTAATGGTGGCTTGAAAATGCGTCAGCAGTAATTCGAGCAGTAATGTCAGTAAAGCAGCTTATAAAAAAGGGACGTTGCAAAAATGTCCACTACATTTTTCAATAAAATGTAATATGTGAAAAGCAAAATAAATAATATGAATATTAAAATGACAAAACTATTAATTTTGATTAAACGATAGGCTTTCCATTTTCCGTTTGACAGAAGTTTCTCGTAAATATCCTTAACCATGACCACAATCTTTTCCTTCCTTCTTTAGATAGATAGATAGATCGTACTTTATTGATCCCAAATTGGGAAATTGTTTTTGTTACAGCAGCATAAAAGGCATTTTACAATAAAACAAAATATACAAGAATAGAAATAAAATAAAATAAAATATAAAATAAAATATAAAATATACATGTCAAAATACAAAATAGAAAATATACATACAGATATTATATATATATATATATATATATACAAATATACAAATATATATATATTCAAAATATATGGAATTATGGAGTATTAAATATGAAACAGATTATGTGTGAGTAAAATGTACAAGGTGGTTTTATTTCTAGAGAAACTATGGAGCAGAGAGTTCTCTTCCAGCCAGAGGTGATTTGTTGTACAGTGTTATTGCAGTGGGCAGGAATGTTTTCCAGTATCTGTCCTTGAGACAGGGGAGCTGCAGCAGTCTGTTGGAGAAGGAGCTCCGTTGACTGTCCAGCTGTAGGTGGAGAGGATGGGTGGGGTTATCCATGATGGACAACAGCCTGTTCAGTGTCCTCCTCTCCACCACAGCTTCAAAGGGTTCCAGCTTGATGCCGATGACTGACCCAGCTTTCCTGATCAGTTTATTGATCCTGCAGGTGTCACCGGCTCTGATGCTGCCCCCCCAGCAGACCGCAGCACTGAAAATATAATCTTTAATGATTATGAACAAGTATGATTGGGTTTTTGTCATAGTGCGTAGCAATTCAATGGTTCAATACACTTTAATTTTGAAACGGATAGTTTCGCCAGGCTTTATACGCATATTCCAATAATCCTAATCCTAAATTTCATTTTTATTTAAATTATTGTCGAAGGTTGATTTATCATACTGTATGTATGTATGTATGTATGTATGTATGTATGTATGTATGTATGTATGTATGTATGTAATGTATAGATACATATACAGTGTATATGTACATATTTATGCAGGTATATTGATAGACATATATGTGTAATTATATTTTTATGAAAATGTTTAGTTTATTGAATGTTTCTCATAAATATATATGAATCACTTCACAAGGTCAGCGTAATGTGCAGATCTACCAGCTAAGATAACCTCATTAAAAGCTATTGCACAGGCTGCATCTCTCTTTTCATCCCCTCACAATCATTCTATTCATAACTGTCAGCCATAAATGTTTTCAGCTGTATCTCAGAGTTGTCAGAATTCGCCGCTGTCAGCAAGGACGTGACGTCAAGCAGCTTAATTGGGCTTCTCTTTGTGCGTAGGTACCCCGACATGCCCTGCGCTGCTGACGTTGTGAATACCTTAGATCAACAGGCTCTCGCATCCATCCTCACTGCATATGGGGAAGAAAGACAAGCCAGGAAAATAGCTTCAGCTATTGTTGAGGCACGCCGAGTCAACCCCATCACCCGGACACAGCAGCTGGCCAGCGTGGTGGCAGGTAGACACAATCCTGATTAATTATCCTCAGCATTCTGGAGGCTGCGATGAGAAAATAAAACACAAGTGAAGTTAGTAAGGCTGTCTCCAAATTACGAGGACTGTGACCTCAGTCGTCATCTTCTCTTCTGCCTCTGTTTTTGGTGCCTTTCTTCCCCACCTTCCTTTGACAGAGCTAAGACAAAGCCACAGCCGAGACAGAATGTGGCTAAGGCCTTGAAAACAAACAATATCTCACACACAGAAACCAATCCCTCTCTTCTTCCCCATTGTTCTTTGCTTTGTTTTTGTTCCCTTCTTTTCCACTATTTCTCGACTCACAAATATGCACACACACCTGACACAAAGGCAAACCCCCACGTATGCTCACACACATGACACACTCGTGCATTAAGAAAGGATAACATTGTTTGTCTTCAATGATTGTTTTTTATAGCAGTATGCCTCCACATTCAAGCTGCTGAACGAGTGAGATGTCGCTTCAGTACTTATTGCACGGAGCAGTATGTGCGTCAGTGTCACCCTGGGAAAACAGGTGTGAGTAAGAGCAGCTGCTTGATCTTTTTGAAGAGCAAAGCGAGTCACTAGCAATGTTTATTTGAAACAATCCAAGAGGTTTTGATTTAAGACATTTCCAGAGGGATCTATGAACAATTGTGACAGCGATGCTGGCAGAAAGACATTTAAGTCACATGGAAAATTGGAGGATTGGAGGAAGCCACTTGGGGGCCTGGTGGCATTGAGACATCAGAAAAGAAAGGTCTTTTGGTCACATTTCTCCTACTGTACTTTTTACAGTTAAGGTTACCAGTAAGCCATCATTATATAGAAAACATTTCATATTGAATTTTGTAAATGAAAATAACAAATACTGCAGCAAATAATGTTTATTTGAACCTAAAATAGCTTGTATCAGCATCCAACAGGTGGATTTGTTATTTGATTCATTATTAGAATTTAATTGCAGAGCAATTTACTTGTTTACAGATGCATGGAAAACCATACATAGGCCTATTTCCCTGTCAAGAACTGGTTAAAACTGATACTAGACTTCAACAAGACACATGGTTTTCTGGTGCAATCTGTAAGTGAAGAAAGGTAAACGTAGATATGCTTGAGATTAGGAGATTTAGAGAGTGAGCCTAATAATTAAACCTTATTTGTTTATGTTGTTGGCCTGTTTCACTGATTGTGTAAGTGTTTTGCAGCACTTTGTACAATTATTTTTTGATACAATATCAACTACATCATCTCTTTCTGGAGATCTTAAAAATCCTCACACAATCCAAGAAAATCCACAATCTTTTTTTCAGTTCTGTCTCCAGTTGGGATTTATGTATATTTGTTGTCAGCTGTTGTAAACACCAACCCAGTGCCCCAAAGTTCATTGTTATTGGACAATCCTGCCGTATGTGACGTTTCGTTTAGTGCCAATGTTTATTGCAGTGCAACGTTTGTGTTGTACGGCTAGAGGAAAGGGTGTGAAGGTTAGGGTGGTGGATGAATGTGTATCATATTTATAAAGTGAATTATTTTATCTTCAATGGTGTTTTGATGTTATCCTTACCTGTGAGTCACTTAGTAAAGACTCTTTCAGTAAATCATCTTCAATCTTTCCTGACATTTAACTATGAGTGAGATATCACTGCCGGATGCTTTACAGATGTGATTAGAAAGGGTCTACAAATAGCCACAGCAGTGCGTAGTGGTGTTGTTGTGCAAAGTGCTTTAAACCCTGAAACAGAAAGCAAAGCAGAATTCTACCCCACATGCAACTAAAATAAAAGTGTGTTTACTTTGCTGAACGCTGACAGCAAGAGTCAAGTGAGCTTCATTTAGCTACATTACAGTCAAATGCATTCAACAAAACAACCCAATAAATGGCCTAATCACCCTGTACTAAACTGTGTGTGTGTGTGGCCAGAGGGGAGGACATGGATGCATTTATTTAGAGACACACACACACAAGCTATTTAACGTTCATTTCGACCCAGAGCAACAACAGTAAAACACGTTTGGTGGTCTACTTAAATGAATTCAACATTAGCACGTCAGCTTTCACTGCCACTATAAAATGCATTGACTCAACCAGTTGCAGAGTTCCACAAATATCCACAAACCATCCATTTTGTGTGGATGTGTGATGAATGTTGTTACATGGGTTAAGTTGCATTATATACCAATATCTCTGCAATAAGCTTATATTAGGTGATCTGTAGTTTGATATTCTGTGACTTTGTGTGACAATGGCATATTTGGCTTGGTGAACTTCTTTACAAACTGAAACAAATAATTTCCTCAGGGATTAATAAAGGTTCATCTCTTTCTTCTTCTATAGTTTCTATCTTCCATCTTTTTCTAAACCAAAACTTGCATTGTTGAATGGAAAAAGATGTAAAGTCCAAAATGGAGGAGGCTATCAAATTAGCTTTGGAATTGTTAAAGGGGACCTATCATGCAAAATGCACTTTTGTACGTCTTTTACACATGAATATGTGTCCCCGGTGTTCCAGGGAACTCACCAAGTGTCAGAAAACACAACCCTCTCTATTTTCCTCCATACCCAAATCTCTAAAAAAGGGGCTGCAACGGATCTGATAAAAACTGATCCAGATTTGAACACTTCAATGACGTCAGTAAAGTGGCGCTACGGCTATTGGGCCAACTCTCCACCTATCAGGGGAATGTGGGGTTGGGCCACGGCCGGCCATTGCCTCTCGAAAGCGCTGGAGACGCTGTAGTACATATGCCAGGCCTGTAAGTGGCGCTGTAGTCTGCCACAAAAGCAGCGAAGAAGACTTCCCGCCCATAGTTACCATGGTTACCCTTCTGTTTATTCTCCGCTGTGGCTTTTTTTCTCCCTCCCCGAGGCAAGCGTTTGCTCCCGCTGCTTTAATTCAATGCAATCCCTCCCCGTCGAGGCAAGCACTGTAATTCTCTCCGGTTAGTCCACCAGCAGATGACAAACACCCACCTCTCCGCCTCTTCCAAGGAACGAGGGGACCGTGCGGCAGAGTTTCAGTTTCAGTTTCTTTCGCCGGTCAAGATGTCCGTTAAAGTTTAAATCTTCCGGACAAAATTAGAAAAGTGCCGGTCAAAGGTCTTCTTTGTTATTTATTGAGCTTTAAAACAAATGAATAACGACTCTATAGGCCTATAACAATATAATAAAACACGGAGGACGGAGATCTTTTTTTCTCCCCCTCTTGACTTGATCAGAACACGGCTCCCTTCTCCTGCAGGGGGGCGTGGTCTCACAAAATCAGCCCCGTAGACGGCAAACAGCACATAGAGCGAAATGAGGCATGGCTAAAATGCATGATCTGTTTGGTATTTTGAAAACAGAAACGTATAAATATACCTTATATAAGTATGGCCCTACAATATATGATTTAAATATAGCATGATAGGTCCACTTTAAATGATTATACAATTAACAACCAGTAAGCTTGCTAATTGTATATTAGCAAGCTTAGAGGGCTGGCTGGCTAACGCTAGCATAGGCTGCTCCCTGTCAAATGGCATTTTCCCAGATTAACCCCAGCTGTAGCAGCTACCCCTGCAAGCCGTTACTGCATCATGAAGCATCAGCACCACGTGTAAATAAATGACAGTGTGCAACTTTATAGTGTGACAAAGCACTTAGTTTTGATACATTCCCGTTTGTTAGTGATGCTACTTCTTTCTCGGCAGTGTTTCAGTTGATGTTTGCCTCACAAATTGAAACATTTCAACTTGAGCAATAACATCATGTTATATGTTGTTCCACCCCAGTTTTGTCAATGTTTTCCTGTTCAACCTGCTCTGTTTGTGTGATCAAACTCCTGCTTTTTGTTTGGGCCAGGAACACCAAAGCACCAAACACTGTTGTTGTCCAAATATCTTACTGTGGAATGTAGTTGTGCTCCTTCTTTTGTTGTTGATAGCCCTAAACATCAAATATAGCTAATTAAGATGAGACATAAAACAAAAGGGTCAGCAAGAGCTGTATTCTAAATACTGTGCCTTTCACATTCACAGTGTTGTGTTTCCTTCTTAACTCCCCTTTATGTACATATCTAAGGCGCCGTTTACACGAGGAGAAAACTGCTTGTATCTGCATAGTTTCGCGTGCGTATAGCCCTATTATTTACACGAGGCCGATAGAAACTGACCCCACAAACGATAACGGGTCCCAAGGTGGATAGATTTGCAAACGAAACGCTCTGGGGGGTCAACCGAGTCCGTGTAATCACCTCTATACGAATATTTCCTGAAAAAATAGCGAAAAAAAAAAAAAAAATAGCACCTCTCCTGCTCACTGCTGTAGCAACCATCAAAAATAGCTGTGTTAATTAAACGCACAAGGGGTTCTTGAATGAAATAATATTATAAAAGGCAAACCAGAATTGTTAACGCCCAATATACTCCTTAAACAAAATAAACAGAGTCAGATTTCATGCATTGATCCATTATATTGACAAAGGTGCATCTCACCCGGTGTTTGTAGAGAATATCTCTCTTTCTGAGCCGTCCTCTCGATGCAATATCCACAGAGACGTGCTTCTTGGTTTCTTTCAGTTAACTTCCCCGTTGCATTTATCCATATGCTGAGGAAATGACTATATCCCGCTGAATACCAGCAATCGCCACACACACTGACTTCCTCCTGTCAGTAGCTACTGCTAGTGCTACTGCTACTGACCATGCTACAGATATTAGTGCAAAAATATACAGCTCCTCTACCACAACCATCAGCAACAACAGATTCGGTTTCTTTCAGTTTCTTTCAGTTTCAGTTTCAGGGCTTAAACAGAAGGGTAGCCATGGCAACATTGCTGCGGGGCTGCTCCAGGCTGCTCTTCTTCGCGGCTTTTGGTGTATTTTGGCGGAAGTTACAGCGCCACTTACAGTCCCAGCATATGTACTACAGCGTTTCCAGCGGCCTCGTTTAAACAGACACGTTAAATGAAACAAATGCATGTGAACGGAAGACTTTTTTGAATACGCATACTGTGCATA